CCCCAAAACCCCAAAACCCCTGAAGCTTGGAATAACTTCTAAATTACTGATTTCTATGACTTATTCAATAAATATATGTTAAATATTTAGTTGAAAATTGAGTTAATATTTTGATTATTTTCATTCTTTTGTTTAATAGTAAAAACTACAATTTCCTTAATGCAAGATCCATCCTACTCTAACTATGGAGCTGGCCAGAATTATAGCTATCAAAGTTAGTATCAGCCGTTTTATAATCAGTATTGCACTTAGATTGCAAAAAGATATGACAAAGATTAGAATGAAATTGATGATAATGCGATATAATAGAGTTAGGCTGGCCATTAAATCCGAAATAATGCGTAAATATCTACGAAGTAGAGTCAATATTTGTAGTCAAATATTCAATCTTGAGCATCTCAAGCAGTTTCTCCATATCGCCAAGAGCCCTAGCATTATAATATGAATAGTCACTAATTAGCAGTTCATAGTAGTGTTAACCCCTAATAATTTGCCAATTATCCAGGGGGATATTCGCAAGTTACTCATAATTATTACAATCACCCCTAGCATCCTTAGACCTCTAGTTATTAGCAATAATATTCTGCTAGTTACTAGCAAAGCCAGCAAACAGGTAACACTAATCATTAGACCAATATAAAAAATTAAATCTCACATAAAATGGCACCATAAGCACCGATTGTATAGCAAAACTAACAAATAAATTATAACAATATTGGATATTAAAACATGTAAACATAGAGTACTGCTTATGCTTAAAACGATATTCCCATTTCTACAAATTATATGCAACAGCCCTAAAGAACATTGCAGTAAGGATTAAATTCTTTACAAAATAGCAATTTTTAAGCTCAGAAAGCTAACTCAAAAACTATGTGCAAGCAATTGCAAAGGAAAGCATATGATTCCTACAGGTCTCTCTTAGCTGTCAATGGAAAGATTAATCCTAACAAACTATTTGCCTTTTTTTATATGTCAACCACTGAACTTGCTTAAAAGAGTCCTTATCTTATTGCTATTGAAAATCTAAGGAAGAAATTGAGTTTATTTGGAGTAAAATTTGCTAATTTTACTTTGGAATCAATCACTCATCCAGGCTATTTAGTTGTTGTTGAGGAGATATTTGAGATGGCTGATTGAGACTTGGGCTAAAAGGCAAGGCTTTGCTTGCCAAATTCAATGAAGGATGCAAATATTTCTCAAATTTTGAAGCAATAACCTGATTAGCCCCCTTTATATCATACAAATAACTAGAGTAAACTTAAGAACTGCATGAATCCGAGAAATATGACTAAAACTATTTAGCAAAGAAACGCTGAACTTGAGGATGTTATAAATGAGTTAAAAGTAGATTATAAGAAAAATCAATCTGTTCAAAGGTTAAACCAACCATAAATACCTCCTTATGTGGTATCAGCTCATATTTTTGAAAAGAATCCGTAAGATCTTGATAATACAATACACTGCTATCTTTTAAGCATGAGGCATGATATTATTACTTTCAAAATGTGCGAAAAAATTATTGAATATTGGATGTGCTAGAGAGTGGAGTGGCATATTGAAAGAGGATTAAAAATTAATTCAGATGGTTAGGCTTCAATAAACGGCAGAGGCGTTAGTTTGCAAAGTTTAAATGCTATGAGTTAAAATGCTAGAAGGAATGCAATTAAAGAAGCAAGTTAATCAATTTTCGCTATTACTTGTAGGAACACTGGTGCAGTAACTGCTTCTTAATAATCAAGTGGCTAACTGTCTAAAGATAACCAGTTCGCTTAAGAGCATCATATATTTACTCTGCTATCTCCATCAATTATATCTTAACTAAAGTAGTTTTTTGACAACAAGGTACATGTAGGGAAATATGATATACCTAGTTTCCATAAAGCATCACCTCTGGGTACTTCTATATTTCCTCAGTTAATTGAGAGATAACAAGGAATGTAAAGTTTTGACTAATTAATGGAAAAACATCAGAAAGATATGCAAAAATTGAGAAAGAAACTTACACCTAAAGAAAGAAATCCAAAACAAATAGAAGAGCCTATGCCTGGATTGAATCATACTTATTGCAATATTTGCAAAGAGCAATTTAGAAATTATCTGGAACATATAAATTCAACTAATCATAGAAGTAGCGTTAGAACAGGCAGTAATGCTGTATTTTTTCAAGAAATAGATAAAGCTTTGGTAGATGTAGCAAATCAATATAACAAGAAGCTGGATATATAATAAGCTTAACTCTAAATTTAAGGTAAAAAAAGAAGTAGATTAAATCCAGAAGAACAAAATGGCAAAAAAGCATCTTCAAAATCAAAGAAAGGCTAAGGAAATTTTATAGAGATTGAAGATGAATCATCATTCAACGACTCTGATAGTCCTAAAAGTGAAAGCAAAAAAACAAATTCAGCAAAGAAAAGAGATTAAAAATTAAAGGATAAAATTGAATGCTAATAAAAGGAAAAAAGTCCAAGATTTCCTAAGGTGCCTTAATAAATTAATTAATAAAAGTAGGGCTAAGTTCCATAAGTCCAATGCAAAATATCTAAATTACAAAGTATGAGGAATTATTATTTAAATACCAATGGAGGTGTAAGCAACGTCCAGCAAAATCAGAATTAAACTAATAATAACTATACCAACACTAATACATGTGGGAATTTAATGCCAAACAAAAGATTTAAAAGTTGATGAAAATTTGCACTAATTAACAACAATTTAAATCCCTTTAATAATTGATAATTGTAAATCTTCACTAAATCTTAATTTCATTTCGTAATTGCTCTCTGGGGTTTTGGGGTTTTGGGG